CCTAATGCATTAAGCCTGAGGCATTTTCGTAGTTCAATAATTTATCAAAATTAGTAGCAGTCTTTTATACTTTTATTAGATTATCTATGAAGTTAGTGATATGAACTTTGCTGTTTGTAATTTCAGATTCTTGGCGATAAATTGGATTTACTTCTTCCGGCAGTTATATGCTCGACGGTGTCGGTTACAATTGCATTGCTGATAAACTGGAAATTAGCGCTCATTTGTAGTTTTCAATTTCCAGCTTTTTTCATCTTTCGTTTTGTGGAATTACGCGAAACAAGTAAACGACAGCGACAAATGGCCGATCAGGAAAAAAAAGCTGCTAATGTTTGATTTTTTTTTAATTTTTGACCAATAAAATTTTTTATTTTTCAGCTAAAAAAAGCTGCTAATTGATATTTTTAATTTTGATGAATAAAATTTTTTATTTTTTTAGCTAGTAATTAATTATTTTATATGCTTAATTGTGAGCCGAGAATCACATTCATATATTCATGCTAAATTGCAATCATTTTCAGCTAGCAACTGTGGTGTTATCAAATATGAGTACGATTAAAGCTTATACGCTGCAGGAACATTTCAACAATATTTTTTACAAAACATTGAAACCTCTACAGGAGTAAATTGTTAAAATTTATTAGCATAATTAGAACAGAATGCTATTATCATATCGTCCCTGATAAAGAATTCTGTTTATCAATAACACTAAATGAAATAACAGTTCCATTAATGCAGGACGATGAAAAGACAATCTTGCATTAGCTCATTCGTATTTGCATGTCAATTCTCTTTCACGTATATTCTCATTGCAATAACGCTACATTTTGGAAAAGTTATGATGCTAAACAATGAAATTACACCGTTCAATTATTTAAGGTTTGAAATGTTTATTTTAATTTAGAAAGCTTTGCAAATGAATATGCAAAGAGATTGATTTTGATTAGCAACACAAAATGTTTTATGTGTAATTTTTAAAGAATTTTAAAAACTTCAACAAATTTAGCATACATCGTGATAATTTAGACTTAGAGGAACATAGTAATAATAATAATAATAATAATCACGATAATTCATTATGCATTTAAAAACATGCAAAATTCAGAGTTGTATTGTTGACACAATTTGGTGCCAATTTTATCAGTCAACTGATAGCATCAGTGAATGATATGTCGAAAGCGCGAGTAGCATCGGGAAACATTCTTAATATCATTAAGGAAACCGCCGTTGACATGAATAATTTGAGTGATGAGGGATTACGACCGGTTAGTTTGCAAATTCGAATTTAAAAGAAAAAAAAATTTGGACTTTCAAAAAGAAGAAGAATTAAATATGTTGGGATTAAAATGATTGTTATCTTTGAGAATGTTTGAAATCTTTCCAAGATTGTTTTGGCATGCAATGCATCAATATAGCATTTTTAAACACTTTCTGTTCCAAAATATACATATGAGTATGTGTGTGTCTATGTGTGTGTTACTATCCAATTACTTCAATTTCTTCATTAAATCAGTAAAAGTATATTTTAAAAAAAAAATTATTTTAGAAAACTACTGCTCGATTAATGCTAAAGAATGTCGAATTTCGTTATCCATCTCGACCTCTTTATCCTGTACTTCGTAATCTTACTTTAAAAGTAAGATTTGATATTGTTAAATTAATTTTTAATTTTTGTAAAATTTTAACGAATCATTATTAAATGTTTTTTTTTTAAATTGTAAAGAGATCAAAAACATTAAAGGGATGTTTTAGGTTCGACCAGGTGATTCGATAGCTATAGTTGGCCCATCAGGTTCTGGAAAAAGTTCCATTTTAGCGCTATTTCAACGTATGTACAGTACCACAAAAGGAGAAGTGGTACATTTAAATTCTTTCTTATATAAATTTTTATCAAAAATAATTTAGTTTTAAAGATTAATAATTATAAATTTACAGCTTATTGATAATTACAACGTGAAGCAAATCAATCCAGCATATTTAAGACGTGTGGTTGTTTCAGTTGGACAGGAACCAACGCTTTTTTCATTTACGATTCGTGAAAATATCGGTGAATATTATCTTAATAGCAATAGTTTCTTTTAATATTAGCTCAATTCAATTCGAATTGAATAATTAAATGATCGTTCATGCACGTCTGTAAGATTTTTGCCATCCATACAATAATAAATATTTTATTCGAAAATACAATATTTTTGATTCCAATAATGATAAGTTTATTTATGACTGAAAAAAAAATGAATAAATAAAGCGACCATTCTTTATTGATTATAATTTGCTCTTTAATGAAAAATTTAAATTTAAGAGATTGATAGATATTGTATCAAATAAGAGATGATTAGCCAGCTCTTAAAAATTTCATTTCTTTTGTTTTCTAAAATTTTCCTTAGAGAAAAAATTTTATAGGATATGGCTTACCGGAAGATGAAGCAACTGAGGAAAAGATTATAGAAGCAGCAAAAATCGCAAACATACATCACTTCATCTTATCATTGCCACAAGTAAGAGCTGAAGGACTAGATAATATTTCGAATCAGAATTGTTATTTCATTCATCATTTGCTTGAAATTCAAATATCTATAAGAACTGATTGGTTCTGATTTGTTAGTCATCATTTCTTTATTTAATATAAAATAGTTTTTGAATTAGTTAGTAATTTCAGGGTTATGATACTGAGGTTGGCGAATTTGGAGCTCAACTTTCGGGAGGTCAGAGACAGAGGATTGCAATTGCCCGAGCGATAATTCGAGAACCGCGGGTATTGCTACTTGATGAAGCCACTGCTGCACTCGATACAGCAAGTGAAAAGGTTTGATAGATCTGATCTTCTTTTAACTGCTTTTTTTTTTTTTAAATTTTACATTAGATGAAATTAGAGAAGCCATTTTCGATAATGCATAAAAAGCTCGCCAACATTTTGTAATTTTAATTATCTTCTTTTGATTTATAGGCAGTGCAAAGTGCTCTCGAATCGGTTAGCAAAAATTGTACTTGCATTTACGGTAAGTTGGCCATTTAGTATAATCGGTTAAAAAATTTTCAATTAGAATTAGCTGGAAAAATGTTATGATATGATGGAGTGATAAACATTATTACTGTGTATATTAAAATTCCAGATGTTCATCTTTTCAGTAGCACATCGACTATCATCGATAAGATCAGTGAATAAGATTTATGTATTGGTTGATGGCGAGATTGCTGAACAGGGTTTATTTTTTGCTAAAACAAATTGCTTGAACAGTTTTTTTTTTCAAATTTATTCGTTGCCCTTTACATTATTGAATACTTCATTTGCTCATTTTTCATTATCAATAGCTTTATAGGTACACATCAGGAACTGATGGAGGAGAAAGGCCTATACTATGAGATGAATCAATCAGAAATTTGATGAATTTGAAATTTTCAAATGATTTTTTTTTTCTTTTTGGACGAAATTTGCTCATTGAAATGTGCCATCACTGTACTCGACGTGTTGTTCGTTTATATTCTTCATATATATGCATTTGTTACTTTATTGAACAGAATGATCAATTTTCGCATTCGTATTTTATTGACAGACTGGTCAATTTTATTTCTTAGTTTGCAATATTTCATCTAATTGACTGAGAATTTTATGATAAAATGATTTCTTGCATTCTAGCTTTAATTGAATTTTAAGCATTGAATGAATTTAATAAAATATATTTTTGAAAATATAGGTGGAATCTGCTAAATTATAAAATTTTTGAAGGAACAATTGAGTTTCTGAGGATTCAAGAATTTTTAAGGCAAGCAAAAATCAGTTATCAGATTCGGTCGCATCATGAGATCTCACGGGAATGAAATTGGGGAATTTCAAGACAAGAATTTCACGAAACAAAATCTCAAAGTTCTTTTGTTCCATTTCGATCTTTAAAAAATGAGAAAATTTGCAATTTTATTTTTTGAATTAGCTATAATTTTTGATTATGACTGAATTAGACATAAGCTTTTTTGATTAATATCTAATTCCATGAAATCTGGCAGATTTCATCACTTGAAAAGTTGGAACTGATTATCAGTCTATCACAACTACTCTTAACTTTAACTACAATTTAAGAACCCACCATTATATGTGTAAGCGAGAGTGATAAAAAGTCCTGCCAATATACTGCTACCATTATTGCTTTAATTCATGATACCGTTATTTATATAAAGTTGACAAATGTTACCTGTTTGAACTTCCATTTAATATATTCGAATCGAAAAAACTTAAAAATTTGCTTTAATATTCGAAATGCGAGATATAAAGCGAGTAAAAATTGTCACAGAACAAGACGAAAGAAGAAAATGAATTTACTAGGCTAGGCTAAACCAGTAGGAAAGAATTTTGTAAAAGAGAAAAGAGCTATGACAAATGATTAGTACTACAGCACAAAAATCAAAATATTTAAACATAAAAGAACGAAACAAGTGAATCAAAAATATATTCGGTATCAACTAATTATGAACATAAATGATAAATATTAGCTACAATCTGACGTGAAAGTTTCCGATTGAATATTTTGTTGTTTCAGGGATGATTGGCGGTAATGTCATATGAGAATTGTAGTTAACAGAGAAAGTATTTCTCCTTGATTATTGATGATTAGAATAATCATTTGGAAGTTTGGATTTGGGGTTTTAGTTTAGGCGAATATGATTGGTGAAAGACCACTTTGTTTCGGTGCGGTAAGTTCAAAAAAGTTCTTTTCGAGTTGGACGGTGCTCGGTGAGCACTTGATATAGCGGACAATCGATATCTGTAGACAAAGGGGTCATATAGTCATTTGATGTATGAACAAAGGGTCATATGATAGATGAACAAGAAATCGTCTAGACATACAATCGATAAATCGATGGTGGATTAGTTAGACATGCAATCGATAAATCGATGGTGGATTAGTTAGACATGCAATCGATAAATCGATGGTGGATTAGTTAGACATGCAATCGATAGATCGATGGTGGATTAGCTAGACATGCAATCGATAAATCGATGGTGGATTAGCTAGACATGCAATCGATAAAAACAAACGGTATGTCATTTAGACATACAAAGTAGATAAAGCCAACGGTCACCTAATCCTTTGAAGATGATGAAACCGACGGTAAAGGAGATCTATTTTGATGTTAATCATTTAGAGTATTTATAATCATGAATTGAGTTATTGAACAAAAAATATTCTATCATTTAATTGAGAATAAATAATGCAAAAGATTTCTATAAACATTATAGATTTCAAAATACAACGATACCTTGATTATATAAATATTTTATTTTATAAAGTTATTTCGGTTTTTCGATACGAACTACTCTCATTGTGGCATTTGGAATATATTCTGCTCAGTCAACTTCTCTGTTCAGTTACATCTTTCGATGTTACCAAAATAACTAGAAAAATTGATGGCAATACATGCTGGAGATATTGAGCATCATTGGATGCCTACTAAAGATGAATATAAATTTTTGCAGTGAATAAAAATCTAACTTGCACATTCTAAGGTGAAGAACGGTGTTAGTTGCATGTAAACATTTTCCATGACATGAATAAATTCAATAACATTAAACATTTTTAATTCAATAATAACATCAATAATCAATAATAAATTAAACACTCAATAACATTAAAAAAATGAATAAATCCAATAACATTAAACATTTTAAATTCAATAATAACATCAATGATCGATAATAAACCAAACATTCAATAACATAAAAAAAAAATGAATAAATTCAATAACATTAAACATTCAATAACATTTTTGTATCTTCACTCTCGTTCAAAAATAGAATTATATGTGTGATATGGACGCAATAGGTACCATTGAATTTCTCGTAATAGCCAGCTGAAATTTTCTATTTATATTTGAAAACCTTCATTTATGTAATTTAGTGATTTTTGCGAAATATTTCAGGTCTTTACAATTTTCGTACGACATCGAGCAAATTGCAAATATGAACATAAAAAGAATTTGAATGAATACAATTATAAGCACTCATATAGCAGAAATAAACTACTCTTTGCTCATTAGCTGCCAGCTAATTAATTCCTTGATAAAAAGGAAACTCAGACAATTCCATTATAACAAGGGTTCTACTTTTGTGCTGTTTTAGATGGCACAAAATTCTCGGACCAGTTATTCGATTACGGTATTTTTGGCGAAAATTTGGGTTACGTGTTGTGATTTGACGTGTTGGGGTGGTTGGGTATTCTTTGATTTTCTCGAGATTGAGCGAATGGTTGGGTACTCTTTGATTTTCTCGAGATTGAGCGGATGGTTGGGTAGGATGTTGTGCTTTGTTCTCATTCTCTTCATTTCCGGTTCGCTGTCGTTGTGTCCAGTTGTGATTTCCCATTTATATTAAAAGTTCTCATCTCATTTGTGTAATTTTAATGATTTTTTTTGCAAAATATTTCAGGTCTTTAAAACGTTCGTGAAAGAAGCTTAGAACGATCCTTGTTTCACAAAAGATGGGCAGGGAAGACAAAGCAACGTGGAAAGCGAATTATTTTGTGAAAATTGTGGAATTATTGGAAGAATATCCGAAATGTTTTATTGTCGGCGTGGATAATGTTGGTTCAAAGCAAATGCAAGAAATCCGTCAAGCTATGAGAGGTAATGTTATCTTTTATTTAACTCTTTATAATAGTGATACATTGTGATTGGCAAATTAATTATTCGAATTCAGGTCATGCTGACATTTTGATGGGTAAGAACACCATGATTCGAAAGGCAATCCGTGGTCATCTGCAAACCAATCCTGATCTTGAAAAGCTATTACCGTATATTGTTGGCAATGTTGGATTTGTTTTCACTAATGGTGATCTAAGCGAAGTTCGAGCGAAATTATTAGAAAATCGACGCGTGAGATTCATACTTTTTACCTTTTACTTATTTAATTCGTTTGTTTTACAGCAATGAAAATGAAGATGTATTCTTAGCTCGTATCGTATTGTGTTCAAAGTTTTTATTAAATTCACTGTGTGTACGGTGTTGATTCTTTCATTCGTTTCAGGGTGCTCCTGCTAAAGCTGGCGCTATTGCACCATGTGATGTCAAGTTACCACCTCAGAATACTGGTATGGGACCAGAGAAAACATCTTTTTTTCAAGCTTTGCAAATTCCAACAAAGATTTCTCGCGGAACTATTGAAATTCTAAATGAAGTACATTTAATCAAAACTGGAGAAAAAGTGGGAGCTTCTGAGTCTGCTCTTTTGAATATGTTGAACATTATGCCGTTCTCGTACGGCCTTATTGTGCGGCAGGTATGAACTTTATCGAAGCTTGAAAGTTTCTGTTAGCAGACATTTGATCATTTCATTCTTTTATTTATTTTAAACGGCATTATTTGTCAGCAGATTAGTGCTTTTTTATCAGCGACATATAAAAATAATCTTTTATAGGTTTATGAAAATGGGACTGTTTTTGCACCGGAAGTTCTGGATATGACACCGGATGATATTCGTGCGAAGTTCTTGAAAGGAGTGCAAAATGTTGCAGCGGTATCATTGGCTATTGGTTATCCAACTCTTGCATCAGTACCACATTCTATAGCAAATGCAGTTAAAAATCTGTTAGCTATTGCTGTGGAAGCTAACGTCGAGATGAAAGAAGCAGAGAAGGTTAAAATTTTTCTGTTTTCCAAGTACAATTTTAATTTTTAGTTTTCCAAGTACAATTTTTTAAACTTTTATTCACTGTGGTTTATTACGTCCCACAATTTGCTTATTGTTACATTATTTCAGATCAAGGAATTTTTAGCAGATCCATCCAAGTTTGCAGCACTACCAGCCGCAACGGCAGATGCCGCTCCATCGGCACCGTCGGCTAAATCGGAAGTGCCATCGAAGAAAGAAGAACCCAAGAAGGAAGAATCATCGGAGGATGAAGATATGGGATTCGGACTTTTTGATTGAGAATGCATTATTCTTTTGTTGATTTAATAAAAATTGTTATTTTTGTTGCTTGTTTTGCAAAGCTGTTGATGTCATTTGCTACTTGTTCGAGCTCGTTAATACACATGGTTTCTTCACTTTTATATATTAGCGTAACTGTGATTGGAAAAGATGTGTTTTGATGATTGGATTTCATGGCAGGGATAAGAGAAAATGGAGGAGGGAAGGTCAGATTAATGTTCTTCTTCGAAGTGCTGCGTAGTGAAAATATTTGACCTGTAGGGTGAGAGGTGGAAAGGATCGGATGGAGTGTTTTGTCTCAGATATTGGGGTCAAACGGTCGGACATTAAAGATTTTTTTGCTTTTCATCGAGTTTGCGACCGCCCATAGTGTTTCCTAATTCTTTCTTCATTTCAGGTAAAAATTCCTGAACATTTGAGGGGACTTTACAGTGAATATGCTGATCTTCAAGGATGCATTCACAGGTGATTTTTTTTCATTATTTTAAACCATAAGTGGTAGGAAATAATATCGTAAATATTTTGATGGTAGTTTTTTGCTGTTATCATCCACTTAGCCATATTCCTTGAGTTCAGTGAACGAGGCTCAAGAGGCATTTTGATGTGAGCCAGTTATTGGTAAACAGCATATGCTGAATGCAGCTTTATATGCTCACTGGACGAGTATAATGTGGCAGAATATGTTTTGATAACTGAAATCTGTCTTTGATATAGCTGTTATCCTACAACTTTTTAAAATGGAATCAGAAATTGAGTTTTGTCTGTCATAATTCAGCAAGTGAACCATCTTTTTCTCAGTATTATAATACAAGATTTCGTTTTTATCACGATTAGTAAGTTGTGTGCACAAAATGCAGTTCCATGCTGTTAATTGAGACAAATTTAAGTATCAGATTCGGGAACATGGATTTGCATTTGCATGAAGTCGCTTAGAATAATGAATTTGTTAAAAGTTTATGAACGGTGGGTTTTATATGACATGATTTTAAGAATGATTCTTTTAAAAAATGAATTTAATACTCATAATTAGATGACGAGCTTGCATCGGATTCCTTCCCAATGAAATTAGTGGATGGATTGATTTGGGAGTTCAAGGGACGACAAGTAGTGAGAAAGGAAGGAGAAATTGTGCTCGCGGGTGCAAATCCTTCAGCAGAAGGCGAAGACGGCGATGAGGGTAGCGAAGAGTGCGTTGAACGAGGCATCGATTTTGTACTCAACCATCGGCTGCAAGTAATAACTTCGGCATTTATAGATATATTTATATTGTAACTATGTATGCATGTTTGAAATCTGCAGATAACCTGGAATGTTGATTGACATATTTGGTTTTTAAGTTAGATTTTAATATTTCAGTAAATATTAGTATATTGTCTCAGTTTATCAGATCTCTGCAGGAAATGAGCTGTTACGAAGATATGCCTACTTTTAAAGCATACTGCAAATCATTCATGAAGAAAGTAGTTGAACTGATGCAAAAAAACGGCAAATCGGAAGAAGAAATTAATGAATTCAAGCGAAAGATCCAAGCTTGGGTTGTATCACTTCTGAATAAGGACCGATTTAGACAGTTGCAATTCTTCATCGGTATGCTACTGTTTAAATAAGTTTGTTGGAAACTGATTTAATATATATTTCAAATCTATTCGACAGATCTAAGCGTAGTTTGTACCCCTTAAATTATTCTCATCAAATTTTTAGTAGTTGTCTTGCTGAATTGTATGAAATCCTTTTTTAATCACGATTTGAATTTAATAAAAAATACAATTTATAGGCGAGCGTATGGCCGAAGGTCAAGGAGAGGGACAAGTAGCTGTAGTAGAATATCGAGAGGAGGAGGATGGTGAGGTACCCTATTTAATGCTTGTGAGAGAGGCACTTGTTGAAGAAAAACAATGATTTTTGATTGCCATCGGCTTCGTTCCCTTCTTTGCTTGTTGTTTCATGTTTACTCTTTATTCATTGTATGAAAAATATGCAGAATAAATATATTGGTATTAAATATTCTTCCTAAATTGGTTTTACAAACCATTTCGTTTTCCAAGAGTTCATACGAGAATTAACCTGTTTGGGGAGGGGAAAAGTCGATTTTGGACGGTTTTAGGTACATATTACATATGAAAGTGGTGATATGCTATTATACTATATAATTCCAACGTTTTTATGAAAGTGCCTGGTGTCACGGGGTCTTTTCTGTTTCATATAATGGTTTGCTTCTTGCTTTTTTCTGCCACAAGAAGTGATAGTCGATTTGAAATTGGTGAAATCATGAGTATTACCATACGATGAGATTGATTTCTTGGGACATATTGCCTGGTAAAGATGCATGGATGACTTGGCTTTGAAATTTCGCAATGTTCAGTTTCGTTTGACACTTTTTCCACTGTTAAACGAACCAAACATTTAAGCAGGCCATATCTGAAATTAATTTAGCTCCAGGAAAGTTTGAATTATTAGTTACAGTGCATGTCCTCAAGGGAATTACGAATTGATTCATTTATTTCGAAAGAAATTTTCGCTCCTCGCCATAAATCTGTTAAGAACTTGGAGGAAGTGAGCATTCAGTTTATCAATAATTCTCATTATATTGTTGATTTGTGCTGGATTGATTTCCGAGTAAGTATTTTTGCGTGTAATATTTTATTTTTATGATATCCTAAAATATCTTTAAAATTTAAATTAATACTTCTGTTCCCTTATATTGTTATACATAGTTAGGGTTTTTTATCTTGTCGGGATGAAGCATTCCGCTCATAGTAAGCCACTACTTACTACGAGTGATATTACTTGTCATTCAAAATCTTGTTAAGGCTAATTTCTACATCAAAGATATGAGACGCATAATGGTTGCGCTAAAATTTTTATAATGAGAATTTTCAAACTTCAATTTTTTTTTAGGGCAATTTAGTTCGTTACTCGAAGCTTGGCCCACACGAAGTAGTGAAATTAACCACATTTATTGGCAAGTTATCGTTTTTTAACTTCATATGCTTTAAACTAATTTCACTGTAATTTTCTATAGTTAAAGACTACTATACAGTGCTGATTCTTAAGATCTCTTATTGGTATTTGAACGGAGACAATTTCGTTGCATTACTAAACTTTTATCTGTTTTTCATTTGAATTATTTAAATTTCATAAATGAAATTGAAAGTTTAATATACATTTCAATAGATTAACGTGTCTCACATTGTAGGGCACTGCTGGATAGCGCGATTTATACGGAACGGTACAGCTGCACAGTTTTTACCTGACCGCACTGAAGTCTTGTTCATCACTAGGCGTTTCCCTCCTACGGCAGTTGTTTTTATCATTCAAAAAGGTTTTTCGTTTTATGTAATTTTATGTAAAGTGACCCTTCAATTGACCTCGATTTTCATTTTTTTTTAAGCAGTCGATAGTTCTTTCAAACTTGATTTAACAATAAATCAAATTAGGTAGTATAAATTTGAAAACTTACAAAGAGAAAGCAAAATGGATATATATGTTGTCATCTATATTTCATGTAACAAGCTGTGATAATTTTTAAAATAGTTAAGTTGGATGCAGTTTTGTTCAGAAAAACGTTTATTATATGGGATAGAGATTTTATGATGTTTTATGGCTGTTAGTGATGATGCATTAATGGATTTCACATAGAGATCGACTTTATGAATTACGAACAATTCAGGCTCTTTAATGCTTTCAAATTCATTTAGTCCCTTTTTTGATTTGGAATAATTATATGATTTTGATGCTTCTGTAACAAACAGTTACATGATGTAAATACTGGTTTTTTTACGATATTGAATTTAAATATTAATGGAAATATTTTCTATCGCTTTTAATATATTTTTGCAGTACCTACTTTGTTTGAAGCCGTTGTTGAGCATATTGGAGAACTATTTTACGACCAGCAGTACGCTTTGTTTAAGATTCCTGTCCCTAAACTTGTAAAGGTTTATCTTTTCTACCTTGAATTTATATGAATTAAAAAACATATAGAAATAAAAAATATTAGTAAAAATCTGAATCTACATCTGTTTATTTTCATGATGCATAACATTAGTACTTTGGTTGAATCGATGGTACTACTGTTTGTGCCGAAAAGAGTGCTTAGTTTTGAATGTTCTGAATTTTATTAAATTAGCGATGTATTTATTATACGCATCAATGACCCGTAGATTGATGAGCTTATATTTATTGTAGTAGATCAGTTTTGGATTAAATATATCGTTAGAAATATATTATTTTAAATTATTTTGATTACAACTTATTTAGTTTGATATCTATTTTTACATTCGACGAAAACGAGTATATCAGGCGGTATCGCTTGTTTTACCCTACCCAAGTAATCCTTTGCGTCCAAACCAGAATAATGTTGAACTACAAGAACCACTCGAAATCGATGGCGCTGAATGAAGGGAAGTCGAGAATCAGATCCAAGATACCGAAGAAGATTGATGTATTTCATTAGTTTGCATTCAGATCTTAAATAGACTCTACTTTAAAATCTGTTCTGACAAGGTAGCAGGAATAACTGAAAACTAGTTGATTTTAGTGAATGAATCATGTATAAAATAGAAATCATCAATAGTCTAATCAAAGGATTAATTGTGTAATTAGATAGATAACATTGTGAGCTAATTTGGACGAATATGAAATATTTCCAGCAGAAAAGGCCTTGACGAATTTAGGCTTTATGTATTAGCAGAGTTATTTCCAGATTTTTCATCTTTTGAAACTTTTAATTACTTTTTGAAAAGTAACTTTCTGAAGGGATCTTAAAATTCCTTTCTTAAAGTTTTCGTCTCTCTTTTCTGAGTGCTGTTTCTGACTTTCCTATATTTTGCATTGTTTAGGCAAGACTGTATAATAAAGACGAAATATGCAGCATACTGAAGGAAAAGAGCAATACGTTTCCACGTAGGTTTTGCATATTTTTGTTTTAGAGTCTATACATCAGTCTGATTTAACAAATGAATAAATCCACATAAGCTTTGTAGGCGATCATATTTCATTCAAACTTTTATATTGTTTCAGAACAACTTCTGGAAATATTCCATAATGGTCAAATAAATCTTTGTTTGCAAGTAGTTTCAAATTTGTCGGTGGAGTGTCCAGATTTTGAAATAAATGAAGTATTCCTAACATGTATAAAGAAAGAATTCGTCATTATGAGTTTACCGACTGTTTATATGTATACCGAGAAGTGGATTAATTTTCTTTTGCAGAATACTTCGGGAATAAGGTTTTGAATTTTTGCGAATGAGTACTCATATTTAAGTCATAGTTTTACATTGTTGTTAATTGAAAATCTTTTTTGCTTATAATATACATTATTTTTGTCACTCGCTTTTTGTGAGGAGACGGAAATTGTGCTGAAGTTGTATTTGGAGTAAAATCGAAAAAAATAAGGATAAATTAACCTAAAAAGCTCAAAAATAACTTTTGTCTTTTTTATCAATGTTATTTATAACGACTTAACAACTAAGAAAACAGATGTATTTTGAAAGAGTTAAAAAATGTGGCGGGCCAATTTATTGCACTTTTTTTGTTTCAGAAATCATTGTTTGCTATTGAAACAACTTATATGCTGCACAAATTTGCTGCAAAATAAACAACTCCAATTATTGCTTCATGAAGTTCTTCCGCAAACATATCGCCGTCTTTGCTTTTTGAAGCAGTATTCCATGGCTTCAATTATCGCGGAAGTAATCTTCTACTCAATCGCCCTTCCAGCTGCTTATTCTGATGACTGTGATCGAGAAGTTCTCTATAATGTCTGGGATAAATTATTGCTTGCAGAAGTTTGTAATATATATTTGGAGCCTAATATTTAGATTTCTAATAACAAAAAAAAAATGATTTGTGATAATGGAATAGCTCAAATCATCATTTTGGGCAGATGTTCTAAAGTTAACTTGTTCATTAGCAGACCAATGAAAACTGTTCGATCTATTCCTATTACTTGCTGGGATATATTGTATCCTGGAATTAATCATGCTAAATACTATTTATATGAAAATTTTTGCAAATTTTTTTACAATGGTCGATACTACGCTTGCTTTCATTTTATTCATTGTTTAAAAAATTCACCTCACATCCTGTTTATTTATATCGACAATTTTCTCATATCTTTTCAGGAATGCATGAGATCGGCTCACTTCAATTTATGTACTGTTTTGGTTATGAGTTCATTGAATTTCGATTGTACACAGCATATGCAAAGTTTGGAAAAGTCTTTGAATGATCTTAAAAAAAGTGACGCTCTTTCATTGAGTTCGCAAAAACAGGTATTTATTGTTAGAAGATAGCAATTAATGGTTTATTTTTTGAATTTTTTTTATTGCGATGTGTTGAAATTACCCGTCATCTCGTTTAAAAAACGATTGAGCTGAATTTAAATCTGTAATAAAGTTTTTGGAATAAATGGTTTAATTATAAAGTATAATTAATGTTATAAAGATATGTGAATGTTAATTATTTTTGATTTAGAAACTGTTTTAGTTTCTCGCGTTATTGGAAGCGAATTTGGGTGTACTTTTGTCACATTGTCAATCGAATCAGAGTGAAATGCTGCTGAATATTCTGATTGTCTTTCACTTGGAGAACAATGACGTAATTTTTCAGAAAATGTTGAAACACTTTTATTTAAAAAACATTTTGAATTACAAATCTTGTATATTACTTTATGAGATAATGATTTCATTTTGCAACCGAAAAAAGTAAATTCCTCAAAAAATTAAACATTTCATTAAATATCATTAAAGCTCATTAAAATTTTGTCAGGCGTCATGATTTAACATTCCTAATTGTTTTCAAAGTAATCTCATGAAATCTTATATCTTTTTTCAATTTTCTCTATTTTCAGTTGTATTTGCTAATTCAGTCAGTATTTCGTCATTCGGGATCAGTCGATATATGTGCCTCCAAAATATTAGAACCTTTTTTTCGGTGTTTATTATTGAATTTGTCATTGCTCATAGATGAAAATTTTCCTCAGCAGAAAAGAAACATAGGATTATGGATTAGAAAAAGTGTGATGGAAATCCTATCGACGTTAAATAAAAGCTATGACGATAAATTAAAGTAAGTTTTCTAAACTTTTTATAACTATTTTCTAACTTCGAATTATGTTGTGCTTGTGTTTGGAGGTGTTGTTCGATTATCTGGATTCATGGTTATATTTTATTTTAAGTACTGAAACTTGAAATTTTCATTCTCTTTTATTGCTAATATGGATATATTTACTCTTTTTGTATTCCACAATAGTTGTCGAAGTCACTGCGAAAGCAATATTATATCTGTATGAAAGGAAAAGTAAGAATATCATTAAATTCTTTCTTAATTTCTGAAAAATTGGATGAGAAGAAAGAAAGGGTATCAAAAAGCATAATTTATGAAAAAATCTGCAATATTCTTTTGCAAATTGTTTTTAATGAAGTAATATTTGGATAAGGATTTCAATATTATAGATCTTGGAAAATGATGATGTCTGCATTCATTCCGGCTTCCCATCACATGTTGTTGTCTGGTAAAAAATTTCACCAAATTACGCAGTTAATTTGTGGAAAAGGATTTTCATTAAAAACTTTACCAGTTTCATTGCGAGTGACATTGTTTTGTGTTTTAATTTCGCTTATACCTTGTATATCGTCGGAATTGTTTGAGATTGCAGTTGAAAGTACTCTATCGATAATGAGGTTAGTTTTGAGATTTATTCTAACAGAGTATTGAGTTTGGAGTATGTTTTACCATTTTAATTTTTCCTTACTAAAAATTTTAGAAGCTAGAGATTTCGTGAAGATTTTTCGTAAGATTTCGCTGTTTTCTTCTAATCACTATAATCAGCAATAATTCCACAAGCTTTATCAATTGTTATTTTAGGTCGGATGTGAAATTATTTCGCAGTTTAATAAACAGCTGTGAAGAAAAAATAGTGAAAAAATATGTCAAGATTTTACTTCAGTGTGGTTACTCGAATAACAATTCAAAAGCCACTCAAGTTCTGGTTAAAGAATTCCTGCTCGGTAATTGCAGTCATGAGACGTTTGCTCTCAAGGTTGTATTTTTTTCATTGTTAGCGGATTTTATAAGAAATATCCTTTATTTGCTTCATTCCGGAAAAAAATGTCTTATGTTCAGTATAAATCTTTTTAGTAAATACAGTATTTATCTCAGAGAGGTCATTTTTTCTGACTTTTAATCTTCTCATAAATCTCGAAGTTTCCGGAGGATATAACGTTTTATAATTAAATCATGATGAATGAAATGTAAAAAATAATATTAGAAAAAGTATTTTGAGAAGTATCTTATAGTGTGATGTTATACTGAAAACTGCGATACAAAGAGGATTAGTTGAAGAACAATATTATTTTTTGAAACCACTGTGTGATGCAGTTAGTGAAATCCATTGCGAAACAAATACAGGAGGAAACAGCACATTGCGAATTTTTGTTGAAGAGGTAATTTTATATTCATTTTCAACATTTAAGTCTTTTTAATAAGTACAATAATAAGTGCAGTGTTTATCTCAAAGAGGTTATGTTTTTTTCTCTTTTGTGTGGAAATATTTGTGGATTTTCCTTCGTTCCATTAATTGTAATTAAACTTCGTTATTGATGCTCTCTTACTTTTGCAGGTTTTCCGACATATTTACAGACTAATTTCTCCTCTTGATTGCAAAAATGTAATGAAAATGACTTTTTTTGAGTTATCCTTGTCAATACTATTAGTTGTGAAAACTTTGCAAGATAGCGATACAAAGATAACTACAAGGGAGATTCAAAATATAGCAGAGCATATTAAAACTGCTGATCAAGTAAGATTTCACTTGGTTTTATTTAGATTTCAAATTTCAAGAAAAGATTTCGTAGCAAATGTGCGCAATTTTTATTTCAGGCGAAAAATAAATCGAAAATTAAGTATTATCAAGTAAAATGAGAGTGTTCATTGTGAATACATCTACTACTATTACGGCTTGTAACGCTGTTGATTTAGACAATTTGTTTGATAACTTTTTAGGATTTAGAAGTTCCAATTCCAGTTTGAGAGTCAAAAATTTATCAGATTTTGCGAAAAAATTTGTGGCATGTTGCAATTTTAAATACAAGTAAACTGTGAATCATTTTCAGCTATGTAAAACTCTTTGTAAACATCCAGATAGAGTGATTGAGTCTGGAATAACATCAGTGCAGCTGTCTCAGTTATTGAGAAGTTCCGTTTTATGGATGGTAAAAAGGGGTAAGCTCAAGCATATCGTTTCCTGGAAATATATTAGATATTTCGAACTATATGATGAGACAGCCATTAACGACATTATCAGTACTGCATCGGTAGAAATGGTTAGTCTCATTCTCTGTTCAATTAAATGCCTTATGAAATTGACGTTTGATTTATTGAATCGTAATTGTTCGTTGAAGCAGTTAAATGATTTATCTATTACATATTGAGATAATGTTGAAGTCTGAATCTGAATCTCTACCAGTTCTCTGTATCATAAATAACAAACTCCCGGAGCTGTTTAGTAGTGATTCTTTATTTTTAGTTGAAAGATCTGCTATACTCATCTTCCCATAATCTTCATTCGTCGAAAAAATTTGCATTATATTTTGCATTGGCGAAGCATGAGAATGAAGAAAAGAAAAAACTTTTATCCACTGTCCTGGGAGATGTACTAAAAATCGTAGTAGATATTGCTGAAACAGACTATCTAACAGCTCTTGGTTTTCTGCGACACATTTTTCCGGTAGGTTTTTTTGATAAACTGCACTGTATGTTTTGTTTTCTCTTATATTTTTCACCTTGTATAAGTAGTATAGTTTATCAAATTTCAAAATTAGTTACTATTCTGATAACAGCTTTGAAAAATTATATGTTAAACGTTTGAGTGCAAATGGGTTAATATCGATCTTATCTAAATGTCCTATCATTATTTATTGTATGGATTAATGATTTTAATTTTTTAAACTTCCTAGGTTGCAACTGGCAGCGCGTACGAGAGAGATTTTGTATCATTTGCTTTAACAGTTCTTGCAGTGAACTGTGAATCGCTATCTTCAGATTTTATAGCGCTGCGCAGTGCAGTTTCTCTGCTTTTGGTAAGCAATATAGGTTTAATGTATTCTTGCTTATCTGTATTAGCACGTTGTCAAGTTAGATCAGAAAAGTAAATATTTCCATGGTTCTACTTTGATTTGTAGCGGCTAAATCCCATACCTATAGAATGCAAACTCTTTTAAAAAATAGAAGTAGAATATGATGGACTAAGCCACAGAATATGATGGATTACAATCTAAATATCCACTCTCTTGTGCTAATTACGTGATGGAAAAAAATTTAAGAAAACATAGAATTTAACCTTTATTGCATCGTAGAAAGATTTCTAATTGGATATGGGTGAACGTAGTACATATGAAGGAAAAATTCTAAGAGATTTACGTTTAAATTTAAGACTTGTGGTGACAATCTAAAAATTATAGTCGCTGTGATTGAAATGCGAAATGCTAAAACCTGGTAAATTTATGTCAGAGTGAAGACAATGAGGATTGATACAATCCCATTTACAGAAATGATCGGCGAATGATAATATATCTTTTTATCGAAATAAAGATCTGATTTCAGTACAAAATAAAAAGTAACTAAAAGTGTTAGCAGTGTTTAATAAGTTAATATAAAAAACATAATTCATAGGATAATGAAAAGAGATTAAATTGAAATGGTAAGGTTATTTTCAGATTTTTAATTCAGGTAACAGTCAGCATTCATCTTTATGACTGATTGCTTTGTTTAATGAAATCTTTAATTTTCCAGGACTGCTTGCGATTTGGAGCCCAATCTGTGATTAATGATCAGTGTTCGTTTTACATCAATTTGTTTGTATGTGTTGGACGAGCTATTCAGAAATATGTAAACGATACATCGGCAGTCGATCCTCAGTTTATTCGACATCTGTCTTATGGGTTTGCTAAAATTGCTAACGAAATGTTGAAATACGAACGGTCATTTTCCCGGGTATGTTTTTTCTTCTGTTATAATACATAAGTTAATATTGTATTGTTTATATTTTCTTACTGTATTTTCTAGTATTTGTTTTTTATTACGATAAAGGCATCATTCAACAGTTTATTTTTTCATTTCTAGAAATCCAGTTTTTAGATGCTCACCTGATCCAATGAGTTATTTTTCATAAAAAGAAAATAATGAGAAGCAAATAGATAATTTATATTATAGGAACAGGAAAAGAAAACATATGATTGAGTTGCTAAATAGACTAATCTTTTTATAGATAGTATGGATTAGGAAATTATTTTATTAGTCCGAATAATCAATATCAAGAACTATGATTTCGAGTATATATGGTTTTGCAAGATAAGAATATAGTAGTAATAATTCTTTTTTTCATGTCTCCTTTATATCTTTTTTGTCTTCTTTTGCTTTTCCTTATTTTAATAAAGCCCATTGATTCTAAAGCTTTAAAATTCTAAGTCCAAAACATGATGTTTCCTAGCTCGCGATATTTAATGTCTAAAAAAAGCTTTTCAAAATTTGTATTTTTTTGACTAAATTATCCTTCATATGACATATGCTGAAGAGGTGAGTATACTGTTTGACCGCCAGAGAAAATGTATTGAACTTTAAGCATGCATTAATCGATCTTGATGAATATTTGCGCACTTGTTTTCAAAGAACTTTGACACGAATTATAATTGTAGTCTAAAAACTTTTTTTATGTGAGATTAATAGATTACTATCTTCGTCATTTCAGGTAGCACCTTTCATTATTTCGGAATGTTTGGAAGATGCTGAATACTTATCATTTGCTTTGTTCCGGATTTTCTCAATGTGTGATAATCACAGTGTCGCTCTTCTGACCACTAATCTACCACCATTACAAAAAACTCGATTCGCTAATTTAAGTTTGCATTTCAAAAGGATTAAAATGGTAGTCTAGTTCTCAATTCTTGATATCAAAAATTTGGGACAATGGAACCAAGATTGCGTCTTAAGCCATTTCGAAGAAGGTAGATGCAAAAGAAGATTATTCTAAATGTGATTTTCAACTTTGAAACATAGAATTCTAGATAAGCTTTTTTCTATGATATTAGAGAGAAAAATGAGACTCGATATTTTAAATTACTTTACTGTTGCTTTCCCAATTTTTTTGCCTTCATTTTATGGATATTTTGTTTGCTGTTTGATTTTTGATTTTTTTTGCTTTGAAAATTGTTACGGCGTTAAAATTTCAAGGGTATGTATGGAGAAGACGAAGGAATAAAACAACAACGAATCAAATTCGTTTCTATATTATATTTTTATTCATTGAGCTTTTTTTTGGAGTAAAGTGAAGAAAAAAGCTTCGATTTTTGAAATTATAAAGTTTACTAACTTAGAATTGTTCATATTATTTAGATGGACGAGATGATTACCATTTTTATTATTTCTCTTTCATTGCTCGCAAATTATTTGTATCTCATGCTCATTTCAGTAAGCAAAGCCTCCGATTTGAAATATTTGAACATGACGATACTTTGCTTTTACTAGCTAACGAGGGCTTGGGATGTTGTGAGAGTGAAATGAAGAAAGCTTCGGTTGTTTGAAAATATGCAAAATAGAAATGATTCGCATAGTTTGAGATTAAAAGAAAGAGAAACGCCGATAATTCTTGAAAAGGAAAGCTTAAATTCCTATAGAGTGAATGATTTTAAAATTCATATTAATGTTCATTCAAAAAAATCAGTGGTTGCGGAGAAGTGATCAGTTTTGCCGACCTTTTCTCAATATCAAATTCAAAGAAGAAAGCTTGGTTTTAGTTTTATGAGCACAGTTCTTAGTGATAGTCTTTATTTCCAGTTTTTAATTTCTGGAAGAAGATATGAGGTTAGTAAGAGTTAGTTATTTTTGTGTATCGGAAATATCCTTAATATATTTTACCGATTAAAAATTGGTATTTCGAAATTAAGGCACTTTTCATACATTCTGCGTATTTTCGAATTTGGCAATCATTTGAATTTCGGCAAGTGTTATGGGAAAAAATTTAATTGCTGTGGTAAGTATTGATTCCCATCAAATGTTAAACTAGGAAAATCATGGTACCAGTGTACCTTAATTTTTATTTTTAAATTGTCAATTTAGAATCAATGTATACATTGCTTGGTACCAAACATCAAAATTTTTTCTTCAAATAAAATATCTCATTGCAGATTCTTGGTGTTTTCTATTTGATATATATGGAAAAATGTTTTGCAAAAGGTATGGCTATTCGAACTATTTAACAGTTTATCATTCGTTGATAGCAAATAAAATCAAAAATCGATTCTTTTAATTTTTAGTTTTTTTTTTCCATTTCTATGTGATGGCTCATATTTATGCCAATAAAACTGATAAATGTTATTTTACTAGTAAGTATATAAAGCGATTATATAATCAATCCTTTATTTTTTGGATCA